ATGTTGGCTGGGCGCTAGGGGCTGGGTAAAGGGTTCCATTGTTGCACACCCCCCTCGACAACGAACCCTCTCTCTCTTCGTGCCAGAGACCATCGTGAAATATTGCCGGCTAGCAACAAACTGCATTCTGCAAGCTGTATACTGTTAATTTTATGCCGGATTTTTTTCGACACTCTATCACCCCTTGCACTGTTTGCTCTTGGTGCAAACGTTACTGTTGGAATCTTTTTTCTTTAATCATTTTTGTATGGTGATCTATAGTGATTTTGTTTAAAATCAGTTGTTAACAAATTAGAATCATTTGTTGATGAAGTATCAATATTCTTTAAGTATAGATTATTTTTTAAGTCTAGATTTTTATTTTTTAGTTGCGTTAAGGGGTTGACATTTGTAGAAATATTATTGAAAAATTTCTTCAAAATAAATTGTTAATAAAATAAAATTGTTTCTTGTTGAAATACGTTCCTAGAGTTTTAATGTTTTTTATTTACGCAAAAATGTTTAAAAGTTAAATTATAACCAGACTTCATGTATTAGATACACAATGAAACTAAATTTTAGAATGGTCACTTTTTTCATAAGTTTCATACATTTATACTTTCAGTTGAATTTATGAAGAATGTAGAGAAATTGTAATATATGCAAAATGTATATTTATAGTTTAAAATAATACAATTAAAATAATAGTTTGTTGAAATTTGTGAATGCAGCGGAAGTTTTGAATACGGTGAACGGGAATTATGTTGTATCAGGCATGTGCCACATTCACCCCATTGTTCTTTTATGTATAAAAAGCTTTCCGCAACATCCTTTGATTCTTCCGCTTTTCACATGAATATGCATCCGTCTAATGCAGCTGGGGTTACACTTTCGTGAATAACATATTGAAGTCTCGTATACTGTTACACGCGAACATGTTTACAATTCTTTAAATAATATTTTTTTCTTACTTAATGATCGATCAACATGTGTCTGACGATTGATGAGGTGGTTTTGCTTTAATAATTATTACACAGAGGAAAATATTAAATTTATCCTAATTATTGTTGTTTATTTTATGAGCATTGTCGATTATTTTATGAGTATGTTCGCGCACGTCAATTTACATAAAGTTTTTTTAAATGAATTCTTCAGAAATGTTGTCCGCCCCTGACGACGTTTAACCGCATTAAAGTATTAAGAGAAATGTATACATCAGCAACCATTATTGACTGTTTATCTTATTACCCATAACTTCACAAGTTTATTATTCATTAATTTATTCAACGTGAAAATTGTCAAACTTCTAAATTCATAAAAATGACACAAAAACCCATAAATGTGAAACTAAATCAATAACTGCAATAAGAATGAAAACGAACAATACTACTAGATAAAATCTCAAATTACTTAAAAGAGTACTTGACAACTTGACATTTCGTGATATAGTCGTTTAATAATACACAACCGAAAGAACTTCACCTTGTGTTAATTTTCATACATAATCACCCCCGAATTTTTGAAAGCAAGCTGGAAGAGCGAATCGAAAAAAGGAGAAGGTAAACTAAGTATCGAGCCCCGTTGCATCGAACAGAACAAAGAGAAGCGCAATTAATAGAGCCTGTAATCGAACACCCAACACGCGTCCTCTGAAATATGCAAATTCGATCGGACACGGTTTTAGAAATTCGCCTCGGCCCTTCTCGTACGCCAACAATGCGTGACTCCATCGACAATAGGAAATAATAAACCGTGATAAATAGCCGGGCAAATACGTACGACAATCATGGATCTCCTTTCTCCCGTTTCTGCTCTTCTCTCTCTTTCTCCATGAAACTCTCTCCTTGGTTGCTTCCAGGTGGACTGATTCATATTCCTGAACAAATACGTTCGGCAAATATCGCGCGGGGGTTGATGGGGTCGGCAAATAACGGCGTTAATTTCCTCGTGTGCTCTCAGTTTCGTTCAATGACGGATCTGAAAGGTGCTCCTTCGAGATGACACTCGTATTTGTACTCTTTGAACTTTCTGCGACATCGGCGTTTTAAGAGGATTCAAATTTTTCAGGGAATTTTTCTTCTAATTTTTCTCTTTACTCGAAGGCATTTTTGTTTGACGAATAATTCTACTCCGAGATGACACTTGTATTTCAACTCCTCTCTTTGAACTTTGTGCAACATTTTAAGAGGATTTAATAAACTAATATTGTTGCTTGTTAAAATATCAATGTTCCCAGAGTTTTAGTGTTTTTTATATTTATTTACATAAAAATGTTTGAAAGTTAAATTATAACCCAACTTTAAGGATTAAATGCATAATGAAACTAAATTTAAAAATGGTCACTTTCTCCAAAAGTTTCATACATTTATACATTGAGATACCTTTACTCGAAGGTACTTTTGATTCACAAATAACCTTCTGGTTAAAAAATTTGATAAACTTTCTTGAAATTTGTTTCTTGAAAAAATATCATTAATTTTTGAAATTCGTATACTAGTACTCATTGAAACTACACATCTAATAAAACAGTATTTGAATTAAATTAAAAGATGTGTAAAATCTGAGGTAACCCATAAATTGAACTATTTTCCTGCATATTAGATCTTCCTTGTTTTTCAGGTTTCATAGATTGATTTACAAATTTGAACAATTAATTTTTATTTACACATTGATATTCAAAAACGTTTGCATAAAGGAGTATACATATACACTGTACATACAGTATATAATATACATGTGTATTGCATATTCAGTATATATATGTATATTGCACATACAGTATATAGATATACATTGCACATACAGTATGTATATGTATATTGCACATACAATACATACACAAGACAATAATATTAGAAAAAATATTTCTCTATATTTTTATAAAACTATAAGTACGTTACTTCGTTACATTTTAAACTTGCAAACTTCTTTTCAAGATGCGTATGAAAGAGCGTCAGCAAAGATCCATTACACGATGGCAATTTTAGAGGCTTGAACCTTGAAGAGGCAGCACTAATCAAAAGTGGTCCACGGAGACAGATTGAGGGGCGTGCTGAAATAAATCAGTCTTTTGTTTTACGGCTCTAAAACGGCCGTTGGGGATTTCGAACGCGAAGTTACGTCCATTCATTAAAACACCCCAGCTGCGAGACCGAAAAGGCTTCGTGGCTCATTCAAAAACTACGTAATGGCCGTGATACGAATTATACCGTTAGAACGGTCTATGTCTTCGTGCGGGAAGAAATTTATTTTCATGCAAAACTCGCTATTTCAAGAACGTGCGCGTTAAACTATATTAAACGTTGTACATCGTTGAATTAATGGAGCGTAGATAATCTGAAGGCTGCATTTGACACGTTTAAAATAACACTTCTTATATTACTTTGCCTTCTTAAAAATAAAAAAACATTGATACAATTTCACGTGCTTGATTATTACGTATTAATACCAAAAGTGAAGTTGATAAAGGTGGAAGATTAAAATTGTTTATAATGAAATGAAAAGTTTAAGAAGTTCTCTCTCGGTAGACCATACCAGCAAATTTCGAATGTTAGCAATTAATCTTGCCCTATGATTTATTTGTCAGGTGCGTCACAACTAATCACAGCTACAATATTAAAACAAAGAAAGTTGAAATGTTATGTCAATTTGGTATCGATCGTTGACTATGCAAATAACTGGACTTGAACTCCAAATTGCGTATCCAAAATTCGAGTAAAATTGATAACGAAATACGAGTGCGTCAGACTCGTCAAAACAGTGCAAGGGGTTAACGATTATTCCGACGTTAATCGCCATAAATTCCGTGAAATTCGCGACAACTTCGACGTTACTTATCGTAATCCATTGTTCATCCGAGAAGGTATGCGTGAATTAGACAACGGCGTAAAACGTTTCGCAGGTAAAAACGTTAATGAAATTTTCGCGAAATTTGGATGTCAAGGTGTTGCTCGTATGGGCGTGCACCGTTGACTATCCCGAAACGCGTTGCTGCACCGTGTCTCCTTCATAATGACGTATTGCATTCGCATAATCCCAAGGTAACAGTAAGTGGATAAATCTTAAAATAATCCGTGCACAGATAGTTGAGATAAAAGAAGTGCGTTGACGGGTCATCAACGGAAAGTAAGGGGTTAAACGATGCATTGTAGCGGAATTGATTGGAATTAATGTTTCCGTACCTCGTCCCTCAGGACCTTCCCGATGAAAAGTAAGGATCCAGCATAATGAACTGTCCTTTGAGATTCCAATTACCCCTATCGATCAAAATAAATCGCCGCTCCAAACGTACTTCTTGCAAATCGAATATCTCTTTCAGTTTTATTTAAAAACGTTCTTAATGTCGCTGAACATTGTTATATAATCGAACATATTGTACTGGTAATGGTCGAGATAAGCGCATGATAATTTATTTTTAAACGGAATCGCGCGACACTTGTGCTCGAACTTTCAATTATTCTTACGAGAGAGACAGCACGTGAAAATTATTTTGTAGAGTCTGTAATATTATTGAGAAAGATGGTGGGTCAGTCGGGTGCTGATTGAGATTAAGGTATTCAAGTTCAATTTTTAGGTGTTGTGATTGTGTAGAAATAGGTTTTACGCATTTTAAAAAGAATTTTTAAAATGGAGAAGAAGTATGTGGTTTGTAGTTGAAGTTAGAACACTCGGCTTAAACTGTATTTTAAAGATGTGGATTTTTAAATGAAGTTTGAGTAAGACACCTTCAATCCAATAATTTCGACCAATTTTAATAATTCTAATAGCCAATGATTTTAATAAGTTTCAAAAAATAAGAGAATGAAAGATGTGTGAATTTTAAGTCAAATTTCAATATGCTAGAAATATACACTTTTGAATCAAGATTTTGTAGTGAACCTTCATGCTAAATTGTCAATGTTGTATTACTTTCAAGCAATCTTTATAATTTCTAAACAAAAGAAGAAGAAAACTTTAATATCAAATTTTCTGCGCAATCATAGTGTTTCAATTTCTCAAAACGTGAAAATAAATGCTTTCCATCGAAAGTGAAAGTACTGAACTTTTTTCCAGAAGTTGAACTTTCAAATCAAGTTTCCTATCGAGCTGGAACTGGAGTTTCCAGTCGAATTTCTAGAAACAAGAACACGAGCAATAATACTCTCTTTAAAATCAGAGAATTTTACAGAAAAGATACAAATTTCGAAATCAGTTATTAACCTAACTTAACCAAACTTTCATCGTCACAAGTAAAATAGAATGCAAGTAAAATCTTCCATACATTAACGTGGACTTTCACATCGAGTTTCGTTGTCAAATTTGCGTAGAGAAACTGCAGTTCAGAATCTGAAGCAGAAGGTATCGAAAACAAAAATGTACAACTTCACTGGATAAAGTCGAAGTCGATATGTTTTTTGAGTGCGATCCGATAGTGTGCATCGATGAATCTGAGCGCAGTGCAGAAGAATGCCCGATAATATTATTATTGCGCGGGCGCGGGTCAATAATCGAGCACGTTGCCTGGCGACGGTGCTCCTGCTCTCTCTCAGCCTCCGGGATTTCTTCTTCTGCGACTAGTCCTGCAGCTGCAACGCGCAGAACTCCAGCAACCTTCATTACATCCTCATCGGACCGGTTTCATATCTTCTGGCTGATATACGTCGCCCCTAGCCTCCTAGGTAAGTCTTACTTTCGATCGAACCTCTTCTACTGACCTCTCCGAAGCCTTCTTTCTTTCTTACTCTACTTGACGGCGTCTGACTTTCAATATAGTCATAGACTTGAGAAATAGTTGCACGCTTTTAAGATTGGAGAACACAGACTTTTAAGCTAGTTACAGATCTTTAAGTTCGTCGTGGACTTTCGAGAGAGTTAAAGACTTTTAAGCTAGATGTAGCTAGTTGTAGTTTAAGCTAGTTGTTTTTTAAGATAGTTGCGGACTTTCACCAGAGTTCCAGAAATTTAGCTAGTTTCAAATTTTTAAGTTCGTCGCAGACTTTAAAGGTAGTTGATAGATTTACGTTGTTAGAGACCTTCCACTCACTTGTAGATTTTTAAGGTTGCAGACTTCCAAAACTTTTCGCAGAATTTTGCAGTTGCTGGCTTTCAAGATAATTCTAGATTTATAACATAATTACGGACTTTAACTATTATAAGTAATCATTGTAAGACTTAATTAATGTAACTATCTCTGCACCTTCGACTCTGATGCTATTAATCTACAAGAACTTCATCGGTCAATTTGTATTACCATCATCTGTATTATCATCTGTGTATCTAAATTTCCAGTTCAATGGTTCAGTTATGTGGAGAAAAAGCAGACTGCTCGCCAATTCCAAGTTACAGGATGAACAGAACCTTGCAGCACGGTGTTCGATCGCCGGCAGGTTCGAGAGACTATGCGGATTTAAGTTCAGCGATTTATCATCTTTCCAAAAATTCACCACACTTTTGTACCGACCTACTGACGGTGCTAATTTGGGGGTCGTCAGAGCTCTCTTTGGTAAGTCACGAAATTAAAAAGTTCATTCAGATCAATACTTTAAAAGTGATCTATACAATTCACAGTATTCTCATATTATTAATTTTGGTACACTTATCATTTGGTTGCGAAATGAAATTAGTATAAAGAACTGCTATTATTGTTGCAAAGAACTATTTGAAAAAATTAAATGAAAGTTTGCATGGAACATTTCCAGGGTTGTGCATGGTGTTAGACGTGGTAGAAGAAAGAGGACTGTCAGACGTGGACATAAAATGGGGAGATCCAATGGAGTGTCACTTCCCATTGATTCACGGAATGAAAGCCCCGTCACTGCCATGGATGATACTGATTTTCACTGTAATGTGGATGGGTGCCTTCGGTATCATGCTGGGCTTTCGCTTCAAGGTCGCCTGCGCCTGTTTCGTCATTCCTTATTGGTACATCTTCCTGCTGGATAAAAGCTACTGGAACAACCACACGTATCTCTATGGAATCGTCGCGACTCTCCTCTGGGGTACGGAGGCTAATAAGTACTTGTGAGTTTGAAACGAAATAGTCCCATCCGAGCGGAAAAATTGTTCGAAAATTGACATTATCAATTTATTTAATTTCAATCGAAAAACGTTATTCAAAAATCGATATTGTTACCGATAATGAGACAAGATTGCTTTAAATACAATTTCAATCAGATCTACATCTTGGAACCCAGATTCAAACTTTCGAGAAAAAATTTCAACTGATTTATACGTTTTTATAACTTACATACTCAGTATCACTATAAAAGTCCAACAAAGTTAAATTTTTGAAACACCGTCCTGAAATTTGTTATCTAAGTTTGAGTATTTTTCAAACTTGCTTATCTAAATTTTGTCTACTTCAATACAATTGTCCTAACTTTTTACTTTTACTTCAAACTTCCATTGAACGTAAAAATAGAATTAGACATAAAAGTACATTTGAACTAATAAGTTATCAAACTCCGAAGAACGTTCAATAGAATTAAGAATTACGGAATCCACTTCTTACAGTGCACTGGACGCGTTGAAAACGAGAGAAGCTACTGTGCCCTTATGGAATTACTTCATCTTGAGATTTCAATTCTTCGCGCTGTACTTTCTGGCGGGATTAAAGAAATCGAACGCGGAATGGCTGTCAGGGTACGCCATGACGAATTTGTCCACGCACTGGGTCTTCAGCCCGTTCAAGTACGTCGATTTCGAAATTCACGATTAATAAAATTAGAATAATAAAATTGACATAACGTTCCAGATTATTTTTGACCACTGAACAAACAGATTTTTTCATAGTCCACTGGTTCGGATTTATCTTTGACCTCACCGTTGGATTTTGGATGTTGTTTGATAAAACACGTGTCCCTGCAATGATCTTCTGCACCGCCTTTCATCTGATGAACTCTAGGCTGTTCAGTATCGGTGAATACTCATTTCTATGATAATTTTGGGACAGATATCTTTTGAATAAGAATGTAAACAACTTTAGTGTCGACTTGATGAAGTTTGTTCGTTTCATCGTGATTAACGAAAAAAATATTTAGTGTTGAAGATGAAATTTCACTGTACTCGTATTACTTAATAATTTTTAATAGTAATTTAATAGTACAGTCTCAAAGCCAACATCAAAACTAGTTCACTATTATTTTTGATAATCACTGGATAATTTGAAGTCAGCAAGTTATTGACATTTTACTTAAGTAAATTTATTTACTTAGTTATAAACATCAAGTTAGGTTAGGTTGTGTGAATAAACCTGAATTATAACAGTAAGAAAGACACTTCGTTATTTTTGTTCTAGGAATGTTTCCATACGTGTGTCTCGCAACAATGCCACTGTTCTGCAGCACCGATTGGCCCCGAAGACTCGTATCTTTCTTCAAGCACAATATTTCTTTCCTTGCACAAAATCTCCGAATTAAACGAAATTCTGTAAAACGATTAAGTGCCGGTACGTCAGAGACATTAAACCAAAAAAATTGCGAGATGTCTAGTGGCAAGTTACGAGACGAAACAAACGGTAATTCGATGAACGATAAACATAGAAAAAATACGACAGATTCGAGGAATCGTGAGATGATTCGTAAAAATTTTAAAGACTGTGTCAAACCAACGAAGGTGACAAAGAGACAGAAGTTCGTTGTGTCTCTGTTGTTATTTCATGTATTTTTACAATTTTTCTTGCCGTACTCCCACTTCATTACGAAGGTAATTTAGAAAAGGAGATGTTTATGATTGCGGTGTAATTGATGGGATTTCATTTAGGGTTACAATAATTGGGTGCCGGGTATGTATGGATACTCCTGGGATATGATGGTTCACGTTTGGGATACTATATTGGTTGTTATTAAAGTTCATGATAATGTGAGCAATGAAGATCGTTATCTTGATCCTAAGGCATGGGTGCAAACTGATAGATGGAAGACACATGGTGATATGGCTAGACAATACGCTTTTTGTTTAAAAGTATGTTAGTTTTATTAATGATATTTTTTGGACATTTGTAACATGTTGTTCAATATGTGTATTGAAGTATTATTCAATTTTCAATTATTTTTCAAAAATTCAATTTTCAATTATCATTGAATTATTTCTAAATGTAGAAATGTAATAAATGAACAGTATGTACATTCACGTTTGCAGGATAATCTGATCGAGCAAGAAAGCGAACGCAACGGCAAAACAAAATGGACGCCACTGTCAACTAATTTAAGCATTTATATCGACGTGTGGTGTTCACTGAACGGAAGATTCCAACAAAGAATGTTTAATCCGAATGTCGACTTGTTGACAGTAGATTGGCACCCGTTTAAGCCCATCTCGTTTTTAATGCCCCTATTGTCGCAATATAATTCGTACAGGTACGAACAAAGTAATCTATTACAAACCCAGCCATTCCCTACTAAAGTTTATTACCGAACAAATAAATCCACGTACATGCAGTTAGAGTTACAGTAGACTTTGTACTGCAATCTTTATATGGGAATGATGTAATATCAAAGAGGATGGAGAAAATGAAAAAATATTCATTATTTCAGAATTTGTCGAAAATTGACAAATTTAATTTGACCAGAATTGCAACTTCATTCATTTGGATTTAATTTGACCAGAATTGTAATTTCATTCGTTTAAATTTAATTTGACCACAATTATAATTTTCATTGTAATTTAATTGACCGAATTTGAATTTTCTCAGAATTATAATTGAAATTGCAATTTAATTTTCTGACATTTTTACTCAAAATTGTAATGGTAATTTAACTAATGGTTTAAATCATTCAAAATTGTAATAATAATGTAAATAACAGTTTAATTTACTAAAAATTATTAGATTACTATACAGCCTCACATAATTAACAAAGTTGCATTTTGTGTACAGATATAAACTAGAAGAAATCCAGCAAGACGTTTACGCCTGGTCGAACGATACAGACGTGCTTTTCGTAGCCGATTTCCCAGGAATGCATTTGGACAATTACATCTCCAAAAACTTCACCAACGTCTCATTAACTGTACTAGAAGGAGAAGTGAAATACAGCGACGAGAATAAAGGAAAGGGTGTGATCGTTTCTAAAGGATCATCGATCCCCATAAAAACGGGTCAATTTCACAAAGTAGAAACAATCAGCACTTATCCAGCCTGCTACATGTACACCTATACTAATCGAAACAAACAGAAATCGGAATCAGACAGGTATTTATGTATTTTCCTCATGAGTTCTTACGATGAACAGTTTTCTGATAAATAACAAGGTTAAATAACAAAATTAAATAACGAGATTAAATAACAAGGTTAAATAACAGGAAGATTGTTAAGTAACACTCTACGTTCTGTGATATATATATGTATTTACTGAGAAATATTTTGAAAACTGATTAAATGAAGTTTCAAAGTTGCATATTGCATAGGAAAAGTATACAGGGAGTTTCACAACTGGTAGTAATTCAAAAACAAATACCTTGGTAGTAATTCAAAAACCAAGCTTCAAATCCCATTCTTGCAAAGGAAAAATTTGTTCAAGAAATTCATTTATTGAATTTAAAAAATCATGTCAGTTACAATCCCTTTCCGAGAGTAGCACTTGTGAGACAACCTGTATAATATGCACCTAAACATTTAAATTGCATAAAATGTCATGTGTTACTTCCCTTTACTTTTGATTACGTAAATACTAAATTTTAATATATTAATAATATTGTTTATGTATAATTGTTTTTCAGGACAAGTGACCTTGATGAACAAAGAGAACCCCTGTCAATACGAAAAGAAATTAATTACAAAGTCGACGCATGGTTGAGGTCCTTCAATCATATAGCAAATGCATTTTTTTACCTAGTTTATAACGTTCCTATGGTGCGGAGGGTGCAGGTTAATAAATAATGTCAATTGCATCTGTATTGTTGAATTAATCCTAGATTTTCTGGAATACACTTTAAAACGGTATTTAGTTTTTACCTTAAAGGAGTATTTAGTTCCTTATCTCACATGACATATGTTTAGTGATAAAGTGATAACAATTTTATTTCATTGTTAACGATTCAGTGAAGACTTGTGTATTTATGGTTTAGAGGGATTGTTTATGTGGAAACTATTATATGTTTAGTGAACATAGAAACTTTAAATAGGAAATTTTATGAGTGTGCTTGCTATTAGTGAATTTAATGCGAATGGTGTTGTAGCAGGTTTTGTATATTTATAATTTAGGAAGATGCTGGTTTATTTATTTAGAAGTTTCATTTTAGAGCAAGTTTGTGAAGAAATTGAAAATAGAGAATGTAAACAAATTCTAAATAAAATTTAGGATATTAGAAGTTTAGATACTTAGAAGTTTCGAAATTTAGAAACTGGGAAAGTAACAAATTTAGAAGTACAGAAATTTGGAAAGGAAAAAATTTATAATTACAAAATATTTGAAAAATAAAAAATTGAGAATAACAGACATTTAGGAAATAGAAAAATTTGAATAATAAAAACTTGAAAAGTAAAACATTTAAAATAACAGAAATTTGGAAAGGAAAAAATTTATAAATTGAAAAATTTATAATTACAAAAAATTTGGAAAATAAAGAATCGAGAACAACAGACATTTAGGAAATAGAAAAATTTGAAAAGTAAAACATTTAAAATAACAGACATTTGGAAAGTAAAAAATTTAAAATTATAAAAATTTGAAAAGCAAAAAACTTAGAATCACAAAAATTTCAAAAGTAAAATTTTCAGAATCGCAGAAATTTCCAATCTCTCCAATTATCAAATTTCTAAATCCAGAAATTCCAGATCTTCTAAATTGAAAAGATCGGCCTGAAAAATTGACTGACAAAATTTTATGAGAAGTCAAAATTCGGAACAGTGTGAAGCAATTTTTACAAAAAAAAAATTTTATTTGGATGCAAATAAGAATTGTAATGTATTTAAATACTAGAAGATATATTTATTTGTATGAAAATATATTTGGTACCCAGATGAATTTACAAAAATCCCAAACACGTCATTAATACGAAGAAATGTTCCACTTCCCTGTATTTCAAAGACGTAAAAATAAATTCTCATCAAGTTATAGCCATTAATTAAGCGCTATTAATCATTAATATTAATTACGTTATTCAAAGACATCGCGGTCGTAAGTATGTCAACTCGACCGCGACAAGATAGACATAACATATCGTGCGACTAATAATAAACTGAAATCGGTCTTTCCTGTTCGAATAAATTTAAAAAAAAACCTTATGACGAAATTAATCTCGGAGACGTTGAACTTGACAAGCGTAGAAAGACGTTAAATACGAATGTGTGATGAAGATAAATGGTCAATAGCTTTTTTCGATTACTCGATCACGACTTTCGATCTCTGGTGGAATAAAGTTTACGAAACATTGATAACCGCACGGTTTCGGTAATTTCACGCTCCGATAAAGAATATTCTTATCGGACACATAATTTCTGATAGAATATTGAACTTTGATATAAAAACGTCTCTGTGTCAACAACACGCGTAGATGAAAATAAGACTAGCAATTTTTTTTTTTTAATTATTTATTGCATGATTATAGGTTGATCTGATTGTGCGATGATTATTGATAAATATTTTTTAGTATTTTACAGAGTTTCACAGGGTGTTTGTTATGAGAGAAATTGACTGTCAATAGATTAATTATTAATTTGTGTAAAATTGATCATTTTGTCGTTGATTGTTTATTTGTACAAAATTAAACGTTTTTAGCATTGACTATTTATTTTGTACAAAATTAATCGTTTTTAGCATTGATTATTTATTTTGTACAAAATTAATCGTTTTTAGCATTGATTATTTATTTTGTACAAAATTAATCATTTTTATCATTGATTACTAACTTGTACAAAATTAATCATTTTTAGCATTAAGTATTAATTTGTTTAGAATTAATCATTTTCAGCATTGATTATTGATTTGTACAAAATTAATCATTTTTAGCATTAAGTATTAATTTGTTTAGAATTAATCATTTTCAGCATTGATTATTGATTTGTACATTGTACATAATTTCTCTCATTGATTTTTAATTTCTACAAAACTAATCATTCGTTAATATTGGCATAATACAACTTCAATGCACAACGTCAAACAAGAGATTCTGTTATAACCTTTGAAATACACAGATTTAAAAAACTGTGTTTCGTATCTCAACAATTAAAAGATTTCTTCGCAAAGTAAGATAGAAATTGCAAGACGCGAAAATCTGATACAGCTGGTATCGTCTTAATAAGCTTCTTCGTTTGATAAGCTGTAAGTAAATGCATCCGGTAGATTTAATAGTCGCGTCAGTAACGTACCACCATTTTATGCAACCTAGTGCGCAACCTCGAACAATCCGTTTTATTCTGCAACTCGAATAACCTTCTTTCGTGTGTGTATTGAAATACTCTTATTAAATTTTCAAATAAATGAAGAATTAGAGAGCATCTGCTAATAAGCTACAACCGGGTATAACTGTACGCGTGCGTTCAAGAACGATTTCGAGATATCGGTAGAGAAATACTGTTCGCTACTTTCAGTCGATTGCAAACTTTACTGATAAGAATTTAATGAGTTGCAAATAACGTTTTTAAGTTCGCAGTAGAATTAGTTTCACAATGTCACGAGTTAGTGTTGTTGAAGTTGAACGAATAAATCAGGTATTAAAATTGTTACACATATTTTCAAATTTATGGATTTAGAAATTTCGAAGTAGACTTTCAAATTTTGAGTTGTTGGGATTTTGGTATTGTAAGGAGATTTTTGAAGTTTTGAGAGTTTTGAAATACACTAGTTCCTAAATTTTTTTAAAATTCATTTTGTTCAAATCCTGAAATTCCTAAATTCAAATATCGAATTCGCCAAGTTCCTCAAGTTCCAATTCTCTAAATTCTCAAACCCCCAAATTCTGAAATCCCCAAAATCTCATATATTAAATTTTCAATTCTCCAAATTCTCATATATCAAATTTCCAATACTCCAAATTCTCAAACCCCCAAATTCTCATATATCAAATTGCCAATTCTCCAAATTCTCATATATCAAATTTCCAATACTCCAAATTCTCGAACCCCTAAATTCTCAAATTCCCAAATTCTCATATATAAATTTTCAATTCTTCAAAGTTTCGTATCTCAAATTTCCATCTCTCCAAATTCTCGAACCCCCAAATTCTCAAATCCCCAAATTTTCATACATTAAATTTCCAATTCTCCAAATTCTCATATATCAAATTTCCAATACTCCAAATTCTCAAACCCCCAAATTCTCATATATCAAATTGCCAATTCTCCAAATTCTCATATATCAAATTTCCATCTCTTCAAATTCTCGAACCCCCAAATTCCCATATCTCCAAATTTTCAATCTGCCTAATTCCCTAATTCCTCAATTTCCAAATTCTCAAATTCCCTAATTCCTCAATTCTCAAATTCCCGAATACCCAAATTCCCAAATTCCCAAATTCTCAAATCCACAAATTCTAATTTTCCCAAAATTTCCAATCCCAAATTCCTAAATTCTCTCACACAAAAAAAAACCTCCACAAAAATTTCACCATTCTTCAATTTCAACCGTGATCAAATTTCCGCCCCGCCAGTTCAAACACCCCTTAACTACAACTACCACATACCACGTGACAGTGCAAATCCCCAACATTCACGAAGAGTAATGAAATAATGAATATTTCTCCTCGGCCAGAAGATGGAGTGCAAGTAGAGTGAATCAGCGGACGTTATCATTATCATATCATGATCATCTGAATCGTAGCCTGTTGCTTTCCAACTGCCATAGCTGATCGAATCGTTGCTTATCTAGGTACGTGGCATAGTGAAAGAATGTAGACTGTCAGTTACACCGTGCTACAAAGTGAACTTTAATAGAAACCAAGGAAACTATGTAGCACAATTGCATCTGTGATAAATTGATTACAACATCGGTGAACATAGACATAGTGGTTGCAATCGATCAAGATCCAAACGATCGAATCGTGGTAATATGTTTGCCAAGCGATTATAGTGACTGTGATGTGGTAATAAAATTAAATGAAGTTTCTTTGAGAAATATCATGGATGTAATCACGGGATTTGACGCATAGATGCGAAAGATTGTCACCTGTTTATGAAGATAAGAGATACGTCGATTGTTTGGACTGCTCATTTTCAAGTTTAATCGACTGGAGAGTAATAAACGGTAACTCTTAATTCGTATATTTTTACAATTCATGAAATGTAGTTTTATTTAGAGGTAGATATAGTTTAATGAAAATGGGTGAGTTTTTGGATTCATGTGCTGAGACCTAAGGGTGTGATTGATAATTTGACAGATTTACATTTCCAACTGCCAACTTGTTAGACGCACTTGGGAATATACTCGGAGATTTATATAAAAGAAAAATGATATTTATAGTCAAACTCTTAACAGCATAAGTAACTTGTGTTAAAATATTGTACTTCACAATTTAAGAAATAGTTACATTTTACTGTTAAACAAATAATAATGACATTAACTGTCTGTTGAACAATTCTGCTGTTTTTTGAACAGCTTCTCCCAAAATGAGTTATAAATAAAATGTCTGTCTTTCAAACAATTAATCCTCTACCAAAATCGAATATAAATAAAATGAATGTTCAGATAGCTCCTCCACAAAGTTAAAAAATTTCGTAAATAGATGAACACACAATAATACAATTTTATTAATACACATCTTATTTCAATTTTTATATCAAATTTTCTTATCTCAAATTAAATTACGTAATAAACCCAGACAAATTATGATAATTGCAATTTTCAGGTGAAACAATGCCTGAAAATGGAAAATACGACGCATCGCTCAACGATCCCCTTCTGCAGTCGGTGGACAAGCTCGGCACAGGGTCCAATTTTCTCTGGATGATATTTATTTTCACGTTGACACCGACGATATTCAACGGAATGCATTCCTTGTCCTACATCTTTATCGCCGACGTGAGATTAACAATAGAAATTTTGTATGTCTTCAAAGGATGTAATGACGTTGCTGTCGTCAATAATTTATAACTATTTGAACATAGATTCCGAATCACTGGTGCTCGATACCGGTTTTGACAGCGGCTAATTGGACCGACCAACAAATAAGAAATATATCCTCGTCTGGTTCTTGTACCATGTATAATTACGACTACGAGTATTTTGCGCATATTGGATTCCAGCAGGCTTTGGAGTACAAAATTACGCATACTATTCCTAACTCGGTGGAGTGCGGGGCGAGAACCTTTGAGGAGAGCGCTGATGGGACTTCTCTAGTTCAAGATGTAAGTCTTTGAAAGTTACGTTTATATGGATTTTGTCTAACTTGGGGATTTATAGATTTATGGATTTGTGGATTTGTGGATTTGGGGATTTGGGGATTTTTGCTTTTTGGATTTTTGGCATATAGAATTAATATATATAAAATTTCGAATTCTCCATATTCCCAAACCCCCAAATTCTCATATATCAAATTCCCAATTCACCATATTCTCAAATATCAAATTTACCAAACTCCTAAATTTACAAAACTTCAAATTTTCAATCTTCCTAATTCCCAAATTGCCATATTCTCAAATCTTCAAATTTTGAAATCCCTAAATTCCCATATATCAAATTTTCTAAATCCCCAAATTCTCAAGTATCAAATTTTCTAAATCCCCAAATTCACAAATATCAAATTTTCCAAATTCTTAAATTCCCAATTCTCCGAAATCTCAAATCCCCAAATTCTCAAACATCAAATTTTCTAAATCCCCAAATTCTCAAACATCAAATTTCCTAAATCCCCAAATTCTCAAACATCAAACTTCCTAAATCCCCAAATTCTCAAACATCAAACTTCCTAAATCCCCAAATTCTCAAACATCAAACTTCCTAAATCCCCAAATTCTCAAACATCAAATTTTCTAAATCCCCAAATTCTCAAATATCAAATTTTCTAAATCCCCAAATTCACAAATATCAAATTTTCTAAATCCCCAAATTCACAAATATCAAATTTTTCAAATTCCTAAATTCCCAATTCTCCAAAATCTCAAATCCCCAAATTCTCAAACATCAAATTTTCTAAATCCCCAAATTCTCAAACATCAAATTTCCTAAATCCCCAAATTCTCAAACATCAAACTTCCTAAATCCCCAAATTCTCAAACATCAAATTTCCTAAATCCCCAAATTCACAAATATCATTTTTTCCAAATTCCTAAATTCCCAATTCAAACACGCAAAACGAGCGATCAAAGGTCCGCAATTTACCGGTCCAATTTATTTTGCAATTACCACATTCTAATATCGATCATTAATGACCGCAACACCTGTCACACTGGCAAATAATTAGAGGAAACCTGTTAATCGGGTTTGAAATTATTTCAGTGGGATTTGGTTTGCGACAAGACCGCAGCTCGTTCGAGCACTCATATGGCTCTGTCGCTCGGAAAATTATTGGGCAGCGGTTTCTTTGGATTTTTGGCAGACAAATATGGCCGAAAAACTAGTTACACCATCGGTATAATATTGTTGATGACTTCTGGTCCGCTTGGTGCGGTCGTTCCATGGTACTGGGGCTTCATGGTCACCAGATTATTTAATGGCGTCAGCCACGCAGCTATACAGTATTCTTCTTTCACCATACGTAAGTTAGGTCGTAAACTGTATATTTCACGGGTAGTTGAATATATTGTAGCTTCTTTAGTTGTTATGTCTTCATTAGTTTCATTTCATTACGGTTTCATTAGTTTTCATTATTTTTTTTCTATGACCTTTAATAACTCCGGTTAACCACTTAACCCCTTACACTATTTTGACTGTGACGCACTTGTACTTCCGCTGTGATTAATTTTAATCGAATTTTAAATAGGTTCAATTTGATGTTCAAGTCCGATTATAATTTACACAGTCAACGATTGCATAATATCAAATTGACATAACATTTCAATGTTCTTTATTGTAGCCGAGTCACTTGTGGCTGATCTAACAAATAAATCATAGCGCAAGGGTTAACCCTTTCACTTCTATGTCGACATCACATTTCTCTTAGATCTTATAAATAATTTAGATAAACACATTGGTTCAATATGTATATTTTCATTTATTTACTACTTATAATAAATGAAAAATTGGAACGCACTGTTCCAATACATTTGATTGTATTGGAACAAATAATCCGAAAATAAACCTAACTTAAGACATCCTTTCAATATTGACTTTGGAATGTTGCAGTGACGGAGGTAGCAGATGAGAAACATAGACAGTGGATGGCAATCGCCTACAACATCGGCTATGCTTCAGGAATAGTAATTGTGCCTGGAATAGCTTATTTGTTGCACGAATGGAGACACATTCAACTAGCGATATCCCTACCAGCTCTGTTATTGCTGATACACATGTGGTACGTTAATCGTTGCTGCATTCACCTTGAACATTCGATCGGATATCAACAATCTTCTTATCTTGTATTGTTTGATCTCACCGCTGCATGTGGGATTAGATAATTAAAAGTTTAGTGATTTATGATCACTGATTAGATCGAAAATGCTTTAGATGCTTGCTAAAGGTAGATGTTTACTTGAACAATGTTTATTTAAACTATGGTCGACTGTGGTGGTCGTTGATCTTTCTGGACAATGGTAAAAATAAATTCTCTAATTCGTATATTTTAGACTACTTTAAATTTTGGAGAAAGTTTAGTCATTTGAAACTTTACTTTCCATGTGTCACTTCAACGGGTATAATTAGACTTCTGTTATACAGGGTGTTTCACAGCTAGTGTAGGTCCCTGAAATGGGGGTCAGACGTTCTGTATTACCAACGCAAGCTTCCACTACAACTATGGCAATACAACAAACGTTTACCGTAATTAAACTTCACCGTAATAGACTTACGAAGGGGTTTATACGTTTATAGGTTTATGCCAGAGTCTCCACGGTGGTTAATATCTCAGAATCGACGAAGGGAAGCAAAGGTCATAATCGACAAAGCGTGCAAGGGAACTGCCATTGAAGCGCCATCGTCAACAGCTGCATTCGTCGATCGAGGTCAAGAATTGAAGGTCTCGAATCCTCGGAAGGTGAAAAATGCGGTGAATTCCGTTAAGGAAGAATTACGTAAAAACATCAAAGGATTCAGAGTTCTGATCGCTAATGGCGAGTTGAGGAAGCGAATTCTTATTACGAATTTTAGTTGGATGGTCGCCTCACTTTGCTATTATGCTTTAGGTACTCCTCGCTGATTATGTCAAATATAGTCGAATAAATCATTTAATTAAATATAGTCATATAATCAACTCATGCTCAAATCTCTTATATCATATACAATCAAACAATCAATCATTTGTATCAAGTACAATCAAATAACCAAATTATTTATATCAAATACAATCAAATAATCAATCATTTATATCAAGTACAATCAAATAATCAAATCATTTATATCAAATAGAATCACGCATAATATAAATCAAATTAATAAACACACAAATATAAATCAAATATAATCAAATATAATTATAATGGATGGTTTTCCAATGTTTGCAGCTCTGAACCTGAATAACTTCTCAGCAAATCGATACATTTACGTGTTGATGATGGGTCTGACAGAAATACCAGCTTATTTAATACCAACACCGATTTTAATGGTAATTGGACGACGAACTGGAAGTTCAACGTTATACATCATAGCATCCTTCTGTTTGTTATGTATTCTCACGATACCGACGACGGACGCCGACACGATTATGGTCATCTCTTTGATCGGAAGATTCAGCGCGACAGCTGGTTATGGCATCGCCATCTTGCATAGCTCCGAACTTTTTCCTACGGTAAGAAAAATCGATACTTATGAATACTTGTAATCTTCTGACCAAGTTTTTATGACCAAAGTAGCAAATTTCAAAGTTCAGAGACCAAAGTAGCTTTTGATCTAGAGATCAAAATTTAGAGTCTAGAGCTCCGAGTCCCACATACAGTGTGAATAATCTGGAGTCTAAAATCCAATACCTTAAATACGAAGTCCACGGTCTTAGCTTGAAAGTCTAAATCTAAAACCTAAAGTCTAAAGGCTAGATCTCGAAAATCCGTACATACATAAATTTTGAGAATAGCACTTGAACAAGTCAATGATAGTCAACTTGTATTGCCAGAAATTTGTATGATTTTCTATGAATATTGTCAGTGAACCAATAGTTCAGACAAAGCTGTCCAATAGCTCAGATAGCATAAACAAATTTTTTCTGATAATATCCTAATGGGTATAAAATTATTTGTGACCATTACGCTGCGGTAAAATTTTACGAATCTCGCTCGAAAGTGACTTAGCCCTCGTAACTCGGCACACCCGTTTCAATTAAGCATTCCAATTACTTTTTACAATGTCCACAATCTCCTTTGGAACAGGTTTGCAGGAACTCGGCCGTAGGAACGAATTCCGCGATGTCCCATGTCGGAAGCGTGGCTTCACCTTACGTGGCTGATTTATTGGGCGCTGTGGCGTGGTGGGGCCCGACCACTCTTTGCGGTGGTTTAGCATTGTTGGCAGGATTGTTTTGTGCGACATTGCCGGAAACACGTGGCAGACCGTTGGCTAATACGCTCGACGAGGAAGTCGCGGAAGGACGAGACAATGTGTCGCTGACCAACTGCTGGAAATTTAGATGAGATGATGTCCATTCTCGACAGCGTTCTCCAATATGATACCATATTTTTCTACCCTTTTTACAGAAACAATTCATACTGGATATCATAATTACATGTATACACGCATTATTTTATCGTATAGTATAAGTTGAATAGAGGTTAAGTTATAGATAGTCGAAATGATCTCCATCGATTTCAAATAACATTTTTGCTACCATTTTGATTTTTAACGTTATCGTGTCATTAGTATAATTGGTCCATAATTTTATGTAACTACATTTGTATAATGGGTCCACATTTTTATGTGTTTACATAAGTACAATGTGTTCACATTTTTGTGTGTCTACTCTTTGTTGAGACACACTGCTTTAAGAATGTTGTTATATTTAACAATCACTGCCAAATTTTTTGAAACGAGAAATGAGGTCAGCTCAAATGTGCTTTCCACGTGTTTCACTAATATTGTACATAGTTATCGTCAAAGAATGTGGTCCCGCTGTTAATGTAACACGTTATGCGTTATAATATGAATGTGGGTCACCTTCTAAATTTGGTAACTAAGTGTTAATTGGACGACAAGTTACGAAGTTTTTTATGGTAATTTTATTAGGACGAAAAGAATGAAATAAATTCGTACTGATTTATAATACTGAGTTGTCTCCATCATTTAAGACCGTATCCTCTTTTTTATATCTGATATTTGTATCAATATTTGTATTAAAAAGAACAAAGAATTTATCGTTTAACATATCATTAATCCTTTCGGCTAATTATTGTATAGCAACTTACTTAACATCTGAATATAAATTGAATAACTTTGTTCATAAAATTTGATCATTTGGTTCAAGTTAAAACAAATGAAATTATCGTATAATTATTTCAAAATTCTCAATTGAAGGATGAATTTAAATTACAATTTTTATTAAACTCATTTCATCAGAAAATGGTGAGGCTAATCGATCTATTAAATGCACATGCACGATAAAATTAATCAGTGAATCATAGATACGCCATGTGTTTGAATGCAATTAGATAACATTTCTGGATCCGCCAGATGGTCGCAGCTATCGTTTCGATACGGAACACCAAGAAGATGTTGAATACAAAATTAAGGACCTCCTTGGATCAAGGATCAAAGAAGCAGCCAAGGTATTTCACAAATATTTTCATCGTCAAAAATACCTTCTCGATAAGTTAAAATCGGTAAAAGTTGTTTTTGGCTCGGCTCCAAATTCTATAGTGTTATTGAACTCAAACAGCCTAACTTACATAACAACCAAATCAAAGCACAACGATATTTTGAGAAGCTCTAATCGTTAATGAATTCAGTTCTGCATGGCGAAAACTTCCAGCGGCTGTTTCGATACTGGGTTTCGCTTTATTCTTGTTATGGATACGTTACCAGCTGTTTTTGCGATTGGAAACGATGAACATCCAATGGAAGCAAAATATGCGGACAAATTCGAACGAAGTTGAAGGAATCTACATTCGGCAGAGAATCGCTGCTGGTTACTGTCGAATTCCGGATTGCGGTCAGATTATTTGCTCGTCGATTCCTGAGCACCTCGATCCTGGAACCGTAGCGTCCAACTTCATCGACAGCGTTTTCAAGGTATTTCTAAAGCGCCAGTTGAAACAACATATCGTTCGTTCTATTTCGCCCACGCGTTATTCTATTGAGAAATATTTTGCCCAGATCGACTGCAAGAACGCCGCAATCATAAAGCTGTCGTTCAACGACTGCAAATTTCCCGAGAACAAACTACGAAGGAACTGGCTGCGTACCAACGTGTCGATAGACGCGCTGACGTTCAGAAGTTGCTCCCTAAGCGAAATCGAGGACGATATTTTCTCCGAATCCATTTACAAGAGCACCAAGAGTATTATTATGGTCAGCAACCGGCTCGACTCTCTGCGCAGATCAACGTTTCGTCATTTGAAGGCATTGAGCGACCTCACGATTCAAAATAACACCATCGAGTTAGCCGAATTCGATTTACTGGCGGACGTGGCGGATTCCTTGACCATTCTGGACCTATCTGCCGCTATAAATAATCGGGAAACACTGCGAAACATCACCGGAGGCAGCGTGCCCTTGTCGAAGCTTCAAATTCTGTCGATAAGAGAGAACTCTGTGCGTATAATCGATCGTCAGCTGTTTTCAGCCGTGCCGTCGGTGCAGTCGCTCTACCTGGACAACTCGAAAGTCGAGAAAGTTGCGAGAGACACCCTGGAACCGATGGCCAGCTCCATACTGCAGGTGTTTCTGAACGGCAACAATATTACCACGTTGCCGGAGGGTCTCTTCGACCGCGTAATCAATTCCAAAAGATCGTTTCGTATGACAGCGAAAGATAATCCATGGCACTGCAACTGCAGCTTGAAATGGATGCTGGATCACGTCGGACACGAGTCCAGCATAATGGTCGGCATCCCGACATGCAAGACGCCGGAGATAAACGCTGGCAAATCGTTCACGAAAGCGAACTTTTGTTATCAATCAAACTCTACTAGTCCCGCCGTCACGAGCGGGTCCACGGAATCAACCAAGCACGACTGGAGTCCGACCACGACTCGGCCCACTGAGCCAGCCAACATTAATCTAACCTGCAATGCTACCTTCCTGTACACAGGTTCACGGAAACTGATGTCGAGCGATTTCCTCCAGATTCCTGCACGGTTTCCTCGTTTCTACGTTTACAGGAACCTGGATGGGGGTATCGTGGCGAACCTCCCGAATCTTGATGAAGGTGTCACGTTGCTGTGGTTCGACAACCACGACGTCGAAGGCTCGCTGAGCTGCGCGAGGAACGTGAAGCAGTCTTATCTCATACAGAGTATCGATCCGTGGGCCACGTACACGATCTGTTTGCTAGTCGGTAATACCACATCCCCATTGAACTGCTTGGCCGCGAGTCCAGTAGGCGAATCTGTAGCCTGGTTGAAGAACACGGACAAGGGCTGGGTTTATGGAATCTTGGTCCTTTTGCTGATTTTGTTATTTCTTGTGGGAGCCGTCGCCGCGTTTCTGATGGTCAGAAGACACCCGACTCTTCTTCGAGGCAGCAAACGGGTGATGCTGGTGAAACACAGGAACTTGGATGTTATTGTTCTTCCCAAAGGAGTTGATATGAGCGAAGAGAAGTCGAGTGTGGATCAAAAGTCTCAGGAGGATGGGTACATTACACCACTGCCTCCGGTGCCGGTTCCAGGTCCTAGGAGATCCAGGGTGTCCAGAATCAGCGTGCAGAGCGATGTTCACAGTTACGTGTCGCAGATCGAACCGACCGACACGCAACTGGATTCTTGGAGACTGACGCGTTTGAACAGCGAAATAGAGAAACGGAAATGTCCGCCATTGCCACCGCATAGAAAGAACGCTGTGTCGTCTTTGTCTTCGACGGCGGAACCGAATGAAGCGTATTATTTGTCCACTATTTAATTCTTAAGGTTATCGTGACTTTATTTGAGATACGCACAAGATTTGGAGTAAAATTCAGTGCTCGTTAAAAAAACGACTTTTGTTATTGTAATTTAGTGAGACATTTAGCAGATTTAGGTTAATACACTTTGGTTTGGAATTTACAAAATTGAAACAATTAGAGATATGAGATACTATTATTTTTTTACTGTTTAATTATTTGTACTATTATTTTTGTACCACTTACATGATTTATTTATACTGTTGTTTTTATATTATTCGTACTATTTATTATACTGTTATTTTTATACTACTACTACTATTTATTTGTACCACTATTTTTGAACTAGTCATACTATTTATTTGTGCTATTATTTTTATACTAATACAATTTACTTGTACTATTATCTTTATACTACTCACACTATTTATTTGTGCTATATGTTGCGAATTAAGTTCGTACAAATGAATCATTGTCCATTGGTAGATTTGTGCAGTTTCAGTTTGCAAGGGTTCGAAAATCAATTGACTACCCATGCATCTAATTGATATCTGACGTTACTGATTTCACTATAAACCGCTACTCTCACTGTTTCTGCGAAACCAATACCTAATACCGGTAGTAGGTATGGTAATCCAGATAGTAAATAAGCTGTGACATTGTATCGTGCCCAGAAACAGTTGCGGTTTGTAGTGAAATCAGTAACGCCAACCGTCAGTCACGTGCTGGTGTACTCGATTGAATTTCAAATTCATTTTCTTGAAAAGCGTAGCTTCCTACGACGAAATGTTATGTTGTCACTTCTATATTTGGAGTCATCTAATTTTTTATACATTTCTCTTCATATGTATCGTTTGACTTACCATCCTGTGTAATTAATTGGAACATTTAAACATTGAAATATTGAAGCATTGAAACATGAAAAGATCCAAGTATTGAAATATTGAAACATTGAAACATTAAAGGATTGAAATATTAAAAAATTGAGGTATTGAAATATTGAAATATTGTAAAAATCGAAGGTTGAAATATTGAAGGATTGAAACATTGACGCATTAAAAGATTGAAATATTAAAGTATTGAAACATTGAAACATTGAATTATTGAAAGATTGAAATTACGACTGGTTCGAATCGATAAAAAAAAATACTGTGACTTATGAATTAAAGTATATATTTGTTATTTTCGAATAAATCCAATATAAAATATATTAGCATTGGAGAAATACATTCTTAATTTAAATAACACAAGTATTTCTGTAAGATAGTGGATAAAAGTGAACGATCACTGTCACGCGTTAATCTAAAATAATTGAAGGAACATTTCGAAATTCGTTCTGCACGCGTCAAAGACACATTGTACGTTTTGCAAACGGGAAAATAAATAATTCTTGTCTCATCGTTTCGAATCCCATTAAATCTGGCTGACAGCCCAACTGCACCTGTGTCAATGTCAATTTCAACGATCGAGCCTCGTACCGAAAGCCATCGTTCTGGGTGAAAGTACGTAATCAAAAATAAACCTGTCTTCGTGCAGGAAATGTAGTTTAACGAGCCTCTGTTCACGCAACTACTTGTTTATTTCAAAAATTAACGAACACCGTAGGCATCTTGTATAACAAGGAGAACATATTGTAAACGGTACGATGGTACAGATTATTTAACAAGTGCGTACAAATTACTCAATTACAATTTATTGATACATTGCTAGAAAATCTAAAGATGATTTTAAAATTGAGAAGAAAATCGTCAAGTTTTATTGTGTAGCTCGTAATTATTTATAATTAACAAAATAAAAATTTGCTAAAATATTGAGTGGAATATATAGAAAAATAACTTAAAAATAATTAAAAAAGAAGAAGACAAATTATATCTATCTTGTACTTGGCATTAATTGTGCATAACTGACAAAATCTAAAATTCCTAGAATATTGAACAAAATTTATAGAAGCTACTTTAAAAATATTTAGAAAAGAAAACAGTCAACTTACTTTGTACTTGGAATTACGTACATCTAACAAAATCAAAACTTGCTAAAATATTGAACAAAACACTCGCAATAACTTGAAAGTAAATACCAAAAAAAATGGTAAAATTGTACAATTGTTCCGTAATCAAGATTTAATGTTACCAAAATGTTAAAGAAAATGATAAAATAACGTAACAAAAATTAAAAAAAGAAGAAAGTGGTACCGTTACTAAATGAATAAGATATCTTGAAATTCTTCGAATATATTGGTAAATGAAAAGAATTCCAAACTAAACAATAATGTTGATTATTATGATTGGCCAGTCGCATCGTTTATTTATAATCATTAGGTCAGTAGTTCGTCGCAACGTCGACGGTCTATCTGATTGGCTAAAGAGGTCACTCAGGCCCGATGCACGTTCCTAGGAGCGTCTGCCAGGTGAGCTTTTTTGCAGCACCGAGCTTCTGGCAAACCACTGCAATCCTCTAAAAGGACGCAATGCCAATATCAAACCGCTGTACTGCGTTTGGATCCGGTGCAATCGGTATAATCGTTTGCGTGCTCGCCCACAAGGCGCGTCGTGTCGCGTCGTGGAAACGACCGGCTTTCTACGGCTACTGCCAATCGCAGTTCCGGATTTGCGTGAGCTTGACATTGCCAAATGATGTAACCACAACGTAACTCGTTCCCTTTCCTGCTTCGTGGCAACCCGTTGCTTTTCGATCACGCTCGATGAATCACGATCAAATTGTCGCGAAAGGTGCAACGCCTTTTGTCCTGCCCATATTTACGATTCTGATTGATCTAATCGTTTTGGTGTCGGTACAACGATTCCATATTACGGCTGACTCTGATCAATTTTCCGAAATCGTCATTTCGTTGATATTTTATTAAACTGAGCAAGTTTTGGTTCAGGTTCCTAGCCTCAGACGGAGAGGGGACAAATTTATTTTACTGTGCTTAACCATTTTGTAATATTTCAAATTTATGGTTAAAAATGGTGTATGACTGTATTTAGAGATACTAGGTTATGTTGTATTAGAGTTTGGTTAGATAGAGTTAAGTTTAATCTACGTATAGTACTAGGTTAAATCAAACTTAAGTTTGATCTACTCATAGTAGATTAAGTTAGATCAAAGTTGAGTTTGGTCTATTCATAGTAGATTAGGTTAGATGAAATTTAAATTTGATCCTCTCATAGTAAATTAGGTTAAATGAAATTTAAATTTCATCCTCTCATACTAGGTTAGGTTAGATCAAAGTTGAGTTTGGTCTATTCATAGTAGATTAGGTTAGATGAAATTTAAATTTGATCCTCTCATAGTAAATTAGGTTAAATGAAATTTAAATTTGATCCACTCATAGTAAATTAGGTTAAATGAAATTTAAATATGATCTACTCATAATAGGTTAGGTTAGATCAAAGTTGAGTTTGGTCTATTCATAGTAGATTAGGTTAGATGAAAGTTAAATTTGATCCTCTCATAGTAAATTAGGTTAAATGAAATTTAAATTTGATCCACTCATAGTAAATTAGGTTAAATGAAACTTAAGTTTGATCTACTCATAGTAGGTTAGGTTAGATCAAAGTTA